TTTTGCAGATGACACCACATTTTTTTGTTTGGGTAAAGATGTAAAACAGATGTTGGAATTGATGAAGACAGAATTTGATAAAATACAAACTTGGTTTAAACTTAATAAATTATCATTAAATTTAGATAAAACTAAATACATGATATTTAGTAACAAAAAGAGAACTGTTGATGATCCATTTAAAATTGAGGGTGTTGAGATTTGTAGAGTTAATGAGATTAAATTTTTGGGTGTAATCATTGATGAACCGCTAACATGGAAAAATCACATAAATTCTGTAAGAACAAAAATATCTAAATCTATTGCAGTACTATACAAAGTCAGGGAATTATTAAATGATAAAGCTCTGTACATGTTGTATAACACTATCATTGTTCCACATTTAATCTATTGCATTGATGTTTGGGGGAAAGTGTGTAAAACATTTACAAAACCTATTTTTATTTTACAGAAAAGAGCTATAAGAATCATCACCAGAAAGCATTACTGTCACCCATCAAGCACATTATTTTATCAACTGAAGTTATTGACGTTCCATGATTTGGTAGATTATAGTATTTAATCAGTTATGCATAGGGCTCAAAATAACACATTACCATTAAATATCCAAATAAATTTTGTTAAAAGACAAAGTTGTTATAATCTTAAGGGGATAGAGATATTTGTCAAACCAAAATTCAGAACTAGTCTGAAGGGAAGGTCTACCTCAATCCAAGGAGTTGGATTGTGGAATGGTCTAGAGAGTGATGTGAAAAATGCCAAGTCAATGTGTACATTTAAGAAAAAATCATAGCTGAATTGTTAAAAAAGTATGAAGTAGCTTAGTGTGTGTTTTGTATTATAATTAGAAAAATTAGAAAGTTGTTCATTTTGTTCTGTTACTTGAAAATTATTATGATTGAAATAATTGTTTGAAAAAAGGGGCAGATATAATAAGATTTTTTCTTCTTTCTGCTGCCTTTCATTTTAAATCTTTTGTATCTTTTTTTTATATTGTTATGGAATTGTTTTGTACTTTTTTAAAATGAATAAACTTTATACCATACCATACCATGTTAATGTTCATGAGTCCACCATCAGCAGAACACTGAACAACAATGGTGTGCATGGCAGGGTTGAAGGAGAAACCACTGCTCTCCAAAAAGAACATCACTGCTCATCTGCAAATGAGTTGGACAAACCAGAAGGTTGTTCGAAGAATGTTTTGTGGACGGATGAGACCAAAATATCACTTTTTGATTGAAATAAAAAGTGTTATGTTTGGAGAAAATAAAACTGCATTCCTGCATAAGAACCTTACCCCATCTGTGAAACATGGTGGTGGTAGTATCATGGTTTGGTCCTGTTTTGCTGCATCTGGACCAGGACAGCATGCCATCATTGATAGAACAATGAATTCTGAATTATATCAGACAACTCTAAAGTAAAATGTCAGGACATCTGTCCATGAACTGAGTCTCAAGAGAAGGTGGGTCATGCAGCGAGACAATGATACAAGTGGTTCTACCAAAGAAAATGATCTGCTTAATTTTGCTAATCAGTTTGTAACTTTTCTATAAGGTGCAATTGCAATATGTAATTTTTCTCTCTCCCTCTATTTCTCTTAAAATGAAATCAGATGTTAATTTGTTCAACCAAAGTGGTTCTACCAAAGAATGGTTCAAGAAGAATAAAGTTCATGTTTTGGAACAGCCAAGTCAAAGTCCTGACCTTAATCCAATCCAGATGTGTGGATGGACCTGAAGCAGCAGTTAATGTGAGGAAACCACCAACATCCTAAGTTGAAGCTGTTCTGTATGGAGGAATGGGCTAAAGTTCCTTCAAGCTGGTGAGCAGGACTGATCAACAGTTAAACATTTAACTGCAGTTATTGCTGGACCGGGAAGGGGGGGTCACACCAGATACTGAAGCAAAGGTTCACATACTTTTGACACTCACAAATATGTTATATTGGATAATTTTCCTCAATAAATAAATGACTAAATGACATTATGTACTACTCACATTGCCTATTTTTCTAATTACCATGTTCACAACATACACGGACAGAGAGACAGACAGATTGATGGAGGGTGACATAAAAATCAGATACACAAATAAAAAAATAAAACAACTAATTAAAACACTAAAAAAAACAAATATAATAATAAAAAAGCTTGTGGGGGAAATAAAATGAAAAGCAGAAATAAATCCAAAAATTACCAACCACAATACATTGTCACTTCCATAAATTTGACTCGTGATCATTTTCTCATAAAAGCTAATAAACCACAAATACCTTTTTAAAGGAGGATTTGTTTTTGATGTGTGCTTGTATGAATCATTTATGAGCAGTCAGTACTTTAATGACAGTAGACAGAATCAGAGTGATCTCAATTTGAAGAACCGGGAATAAATTATTAGTATATTTAAGAGCTGTCTACCCAATAGCAAATTCCTGCCATTTAAACTCCAAGTTTCCCCCACAGTTCAACCAAATGATTTATGGGTTGTTGTTGTTAGACATAAAAAAAAAAAATACATTTGTCTGAAAGTTTGGATTTTTTGTTTAAAAAAAGTCAATTTTGCAGCATTTGTGATCATGTTGTGAAGCTATAATGTGTACAGGTTTGTTTTTCAGCCAAATAAATACAGGTGGAGATACTGGTAATTAAAATAATGCTTGTATTTTGAAATGGGCTGGAAGTAACATCTGTTTGCATCTGCCAAGAGAATGGAGTGGGAGTTAGATAATTAAGAAGGTGGAATGATTTCAGTTGAAGTGATTTAAGAAAGTAAGAAACTTACCCTGGATCCTGTTCCTTAGAGAGCTGTAAATATAAATTACCAAGTAATAAACTTTCTACATCAAGAGTAAGCAGATAATCGTTGAATGAGCAGGGATAGAATCGAGTGGGTCAACCAGGTTTAGACTTAGCTGACTTCTCTTGTTCTATGAGAAGCTCTAGAAATGTACACATTTTCACCTGAGTTCTTTTGACAATGGTGGTTCATCATCTCATCTTCTTTATGAAAGACACTGCACTGTAGTTCAAGCATTTAAAGATATAAGCTTGTGGAATTACAGTTAAGCCAATGTTTATTTGTTTGTTTGTTTGCTTTCTTGTCCAAGGCAGAGCAGAGTGAAGGATCCTGGTGAATAGAGGGAGTAACTTTATCTACGGCCAGATGTATTGGTGGAGCCAGAGTGGTGGCCTTGGACACCATAGTTTATTTTCAGCCAACCCAAAGGCCAGCTCAATCATTTGTGG